GCCCATGCAGACAGCAGCAGTCTCACTGACTGGAGGGTGCAGAGGTCAGGGCTGGGGCTGCAGGATTAGCTAGAACTTGTGGGAATGGGGCCAGAAGGGAAAAAGCTGCATTGGGTGGGGAGCCTCAGAGGCCTCCACGAGGACTTCCTGCAGGTGGGTATCTGCAGCCTGAGTGGTGGTGGACGCGTGGGATGAGATTCTAAGTGGCCTAGCAGAGGGCGGCAGCTCTGGGCTGGACGCTGATAAGGGCTAGGAGACAGAGAAAGCACAATGCTGGGTGAGGCCAGCGTTCCAACCCACACAAAGGGGAGGGACTTCAGGGAGCATCGGGGGCCTCCAGCGGAAAGCCCGAAGTCCACGTCTCAGGACTAAGAATCACAAACTAGAAGACAGGCTGTGCCCAGGGCTGAGGAAAAACCAGAACTGATGAGTCTGAAGGAAACATGAAACAAAGGCTCAGGGAATCCAAAGGACCCCTCTATTATAATAACAAAATAAATATGCGCAACAGAAAATAGCAATGTGTTCTAACATATAACTGTGCCATGTGTAATGTGCTACAAATATATTCAAGGCTATAAAGGGCAAAAAAAGTGGACATAATAAGTGAACAAATGGGACATTCCCTAGAGAAGTACAGACTATAAAAAGAAAACCGAATGGTAATTTTGGAACTTAAGCTTAAAATAATCCCAATGCATAGTTTGCCAAATTGTTTAAACAAATGATTAGGAATGTTAGAAAAATTATACAAATGACAACCAACTTTTTATCAGGAACAGCTGAGTGCAGATGCAAACACAATCATCTATTTAAAGTGTCTAAGGGAAAAGAGAATATAGAATTCTAACAGAATTCAGAAAAAACTGTCCTTCAAAACTGAGGGTGAATTAATGACATTTTCAGGTAAAGAAAATGTGACGTGCTTTATGGCCAGCAGATTTATGCTACAAGAGATGCTAGAGGAAGTTCTTTGAGCCCTTTGGAAATGATCCAATTTAAAACCAATCTATAAGAAAGCAAGAATAATAAATGCCAAAAATGTGGGTAAATACAAAAGATGATCCTATTTTATTTAAAAGCAACCCATTATTTTAAGATAAAAGTTATAGCATTGTGTCATGCAGTTTAGAACATTCATAGTAAAACACATGCTGACAATAGTACAAAGTGTGAAAGAGGGATACAGAAATGTATTTGTGGTGAGGATCCTGCATTTTGCATAAAGTGGAACAATGCTAATTCTACAGAGGTTCTAAGTTAAAGATGCAGCTGTAATCTCTAGAGCAACCACCAAAAATACAAGAAATTATAGCTAACAAGCAAACTGATGCAAAAATAGAATTTTCAAAAGAAGTTTAATCCAAAAGGAAATAGAGAAACAAAACAGAAATGAAAATGATATGAAACAAATAGGAAAATGGTAGACTTAAATCCACCATATGAACAATTACATTAAATATAAATGTATCAAATATTCCAGTGGAAGGCTAGAGATGGTTCAACTGGATAGAAAAACAATACCAAATTAAAGTATGTTTACCACAGAAACATTTTACATAAAAATATGAAGAAATTGACAGTAAAAGGGTGAGAAAAATTACTATGCAAAGAGTATTTCTAAATAAGCTGATGTGGCTGTATTAATATCAGATAAAGTAGAATTCAAGAAAAGTAACATTATCAAGAATAAAAAAGGTCACTTTATAATAATGAAAGAGTCAGGAAGACATAACAATCTTAAATGTGCATGTACCTAATAATCCAGCTTCAAGATATACAAAGCAAAAACTAATAGAACTAATGGGAGAAATAGAAAAATACATAATCTGTGTTAGAAAGTTTGACACTCGTATCTATGAAACTGACACAAGTAATAAATACTATGGGGGATATAGAAGATACAAATAATATTATCAAACAAATTAACAAAATAAATATTTCTAGAACATTATACCCAACCACTGCAGAAAGCATGATTGTTTCAAGTGGCCATAGAATGTTCACCAGGATAGAATAAATGCTGGGCTATGAAATATGTTTCAATAAATTTCAAAAGTGTACTTATAAAGTATATTCTCTGATCAAAATTGAACAAAATTGGAGATCAAAATTAATAAGCTGTCTAGAAAACACCAATTATTTCGTAGTTAAATAATACACTCCTAAATAGTGCATGGGTTAAAGAAGAAATCAGCACTTAAATTAGGAAATATTCCATAGTTAATAACATTAAACACTCAACATGTAAAATGTTCCAGTTACATGTTAATATGTCGCTTAGGAGGAAACTACTAGCTTTAAATATAGTTAAATGATTATGTTAAGAAAAGAAGAAAATGTTCAAATCCAAGCTAATCTCATAGACAAGGAAGAGACAGTCACACTAAGTCTTAGAATGTAATAAAGACAAAACAGAAATTAATGAAATAGAAAATAGCCCAATAAAATTTTCTTTTAAAAATTAACAGAGACAAATACTGCTGTTTTGAAGGGACTCATTCATCTGATAAACTCCTAGATAGTTTGATCAAGTGAAAGAGATTAAAAAACACATGTTACCATTATTAGGAATAAAAGAGGAAATGCCACTGTAGCTCTTACATTCATTAAAGGGATAAATAAAAATATTACGAACAACTCTTGGACCAAAAAAAAATTAACAAAGCAGATAAAACAGACACATTCATTAGAAAATCTCTCTTCTTGTGTCCTTTTTTGATTTCTTTTTCCCAGTGAATCTGATCAGCTTAGCTGGGAAGTGCTCCTACATAACCCTGCATATGTTAGTGTAGTTAAATTAGTAATTACAAAAACCTTCCCACAAACAGAGCTCACTGATAAACTCTAACAAACGTTTAAGGAAGAAACCATACCAATCTTATTATAAGCTCTTCAAGAAAACAAAGGAGTAGGGAACACTTTCAAATCATTTTTTTTTTGAGGGCAGCATAACTCTGATATAAATTCTTGAAAGGTAATTATAAGAAAACAAAATTTCTAAATTATATTACTCAAGAACATACATATAAAAACCCTGAACAAAATATTCACAAGTCAACAAAATATAAAAATGTGTAATAGATTATGACCAAGTGGAGTCGTCCTAGGAGTGCAGGCTGGCTTAACATTCAAAAATCAATGAAAAAATCGAAAGCCCATCAGCGATTCACCACATGAACAGCATAAAGGAGAAAGAATGTATGTCTACATAACAGACGCAGGAAAAAAAGCCCACATGACAAAAATCAACACGAATCTGTGATAAAATCTTTTACCAGTCTAGGACCAGAAAGGAACTTCTTCAACTGGATAAAAGGAAGCCATGTAAAACCAATTGCTAGCATCATGTTTAACGGCGAAATGTGAAAACACTTGGCAATAGGAAGTTCCAGAATAAGCAATGTGTTACTATGGTGATAGAAAGCCGAACAATGGTCGCTCACGGCGTGGGGAGGGACTGAATGGAGGAGGGCTAAAGGGAACTTTTTGGCTTCACGGAAAGAAGATGTAGCTTGATCAGTATGCTAATATGGGTGAATGCATTTGTTAAAATTCCCATTGTACACCTAAAACAAATGCATTTCACTGCATGTAAATGTATCCTCAGTAATGACAAGACATGCTGCATTTAACTTCTTATTTCCTGTATTTTCCAGATGGCACTGGTCTACCATGAATGATGCAGTCTGTGGTCCCGGAGCAAAATAGAGCGGAAACCAAGAGTCTGATGTCAAAACTCTCACCTCGGAAAGAAGACATTAGTTTCATGCTCCTTTCCCTCAGCAAAGAGGAGAGTAACACAAAAGTTCTGAGGAATTTTACATATTCTGCCCACGGAAACGGCAGCATTGGGAATACACGCTGAGGCTGACTGACTTACCGTCTTGCTCGAGCTGAGGGTTCCCAGCTGGGGACGTAAGGGTCCCCTGGCA